CTTCCTCTGGTGTAAACGATGGGAGACACAGGTGAGTCAGAGATATAGCACTTGCAATTCTCCCTTTTCAGTCTTAGGTGAGTCAGAGATATGGCACTTGCAATTCTCCCTTTTCAGTCTTCAGTAAGGAGAAATGTTGGCAATTTCTGTTGTTCTCCGACACAACTGTTTGACCTCAGTGCAGCTTATGCTAATTGTTTGCAAGAATATGCTTGTTTGCTCAGTGCATGCCTAGCATATTTCTCGTATCTAAGTTTGATAGATGAAATATTGCTTATATGACAGTGCAGACTGGGTTGAATGAATCAACGGCTGGTTGGCCAAGTAATCCAGGCAAACAGGAATTCTGTTTGTGATAAAAGAAAACCTGAGAAGTTCCTCATTAATACTGCCTAGATATTCTTATACCAGTTCACTCCCTTTCTGCTTACCGTGACCTTAATCTCTCAGGTTGACACAGAAAATAGAGAAGATCCATCTCTTTGCCCAAAGCAAGGTCAACTCTCCTTTCCTGACAACCGCTAATCTAGCCTGGCCTTAAAGACCTTCTGCGATGAAAATCTTATTCCAGGCTTCACTAGCTTTCTGGTGTTGACATTCTTCCTAACATCTTTGAATGTGTTTGTGTGGCTGCACACCTATCTTCAATCTCTGGGTATGCTCTGAGTATATATACTTTAATTAAACATATTAATCTATGAAGAAGCTGGATTCCTACTGTTATTGATCAACAAGTGCACATGCCTGGCCCCAGGATTTACCCATGCACAAGTTGCAACTGCAACAATTTGTTGTGTGCTCTCTGTTCTGATCAGCTCCTCCAAGGACTGAAGCGGTGCATACAATCTGCTTAGCTTTGAAGAGATGGTCACTTTGACTAGCTGGAACATCAGACCTAAAGCTATGCAGTCAGTCAGTCAACTCCATTCCCTTGACCATGTCTCCTCAAGCTCCGTTCCCCCTTCACATGGGGGACAGCCTTTTTTTGTACTGCACCCAAAACACAGCTGAGGGGAAGGAAGAACAGAGAGGAACAGCTGAGGGAAGCTGGGGAGAAACAGAGCCAGGTCCTGGGCTGCGTGGCTAAAGTTGCCATTTCTTCTGCTGCTCAGCAGCAATGAGGAGGAGAAAGGAGAACCTTTTCTTTTCTCCATCTGCAGGAATCCATAACAGCCCTGGCTGCAAATACGTGCATGCTCCCAGAAAGGTCAGCGCTTCATTTCACATACATACTGTAAAGATAAAGCTCTCGTTATTCAATGAACAAGGATCTGCCTTCAGATAGAGCCCAATTCAGCAGAGCATTTCTGAGCCTGCTTAAAGATCAGTTTAAGCTTACAGCAGGTAAGCTAAACCTAAAGAGGTATGGGTTTAAGCATGTATTTTACATTATATGGAGGCTTAAGGGTTTTGCTGCTGGGGGAAGGGAAGGAAGCTTTGTTTGCAGTATTCCTTGTCCTGCACGGGAAGATATCGTTTCTTTCTGTTACTGAGCTCCAAAGCACCTTTCTTGCATTGCTTGGGATTGATTTGAAGCAGTAAACACCATGATTTGGGACCTCATGGCAGGTTCTCCTTAATACACAGATCTTTTCTCCTAGAAGTCTGGTACCTAAAACACCAGCAAGTAATCTCCAGCCATAAACCAGGAGGCTATTCTTTGTGCACTGCTGCACACACAGCATATGTAAGAGAGTCGAGCATCAATCTAGCTACCCCCTGCACCTCGGCTTCTCCTTGTGCTTCGTACGTTCAAGCAATGCAGGGGGCTGGTGTCTGCCAGACACATTTAGCAATGGGGGACTAGCTTTTTAATGAGTTCAAATACCCTGCTTTCCCCAGCCATATGTTGAAGCTGATAACCACAGTGGGGCATCTCCAATTCGGAGGATGCTTTGTTTCTCCAGGCTTGGTGGAACCCTGTCTACAGGGTGGGACTGGGACAGGCTGGAAGGCAGAAGGGGAAAATCCAGTGGAGAACCTCTATACACTCACTGAGAGCAACTTGAGAGACTTACAGGCAAACAAGAGGGGAAAATGAGTGGGATACTGGGGGGAAGACCTTGTCCTTCCACTGAAGCAGGGGATCAAAGCCCCACTGAAGTTGGTGGGGTTCTGTCCTCCTTTCCCTTCTCTGTCATATATTCTGCCCATTCTCCTGTTATCTGATCAGGGGACAGCCACATATTCTGCAGCCAACCTCAGACTTCTGTGAGGAGGGAAACAACTGCTATTGTTTTGCAGGACAGATACTGGACAACTCTGAGAAAACAGAAAGGTGAGGGCTTAATCGAGCATATGATTTACTGGAGGAAGAAATTCACTCCAGATCCTCTAGTAGCCAAAAGGCTGAGAGCAGTCTCAAAGTGATCACGTGTATATCACCACTCTTCTTGTTGTGTGAGTTGGGAAAACTATTGAAAAACAGAAATCCTTTCAAAGACTAGAGCAAAAAGCCACCGTAACTGATGGAGACTTACCATAGGCAATCTATCAGAATTATTTCCAAATTGCCTTTGGGAGCAGCTTTGCAACTGCCTGAGTTCAATCAGAACTGTTTAAACCAGAATATAATCATATCCCTAGGAAGGCTGGCAGCGTCTTCAGAAGAGCCACCGTGCTATGCTGACCTCTGGGAGACGTTGCCTCGCACTGCAACTCCTGGGCAAAGTTCGCACGCTGAAGATTTGTATGACACGAATGCCCCCTAAAGGAGAGCAACATCGCAGCAGCAAACCCAGAACAGGAGGATTTGAACAGAGAAACTATGAATCGTACATCTACTTTAGTATGCAGTGCATCCGGGAAAACCTCATTAAGTCCTACTCACGCAGGCAAGGAGTTGCAGAGATTTAAGACAGCGTGGGCATGGGCGAGGCCAGCTTTCCTCACCCAGAGTCTTTGTTCTGCCTCTAAAATATGCTTGGAAACACTTATCTGGGCATTGTGATCATAAATAATTACAGCCAAACTACCGAGCACTTAGCTCATGCTGTTCTCCCGAGCTTTTAACCGTTGAGTCAGTTCATTACTTAGTTTCTGGCAGAGCTCGTCCATTTATTGTGGGCAGTTACCTGTCAGGCAGAGAGGCATAAGTAGACAGTTACTCTAATGTCTGATCAGCTTCCACCCCACAAATCAAGACTATAGCAAAGCCCTCAGTACATCCAAGTCTCTATGCCTTCTCCTCTTCCAGGATGTGGACTCTACGCAAGGGGGGAATTCGAGTTGTCATTTTATTCTAAAAACCTCATCTCCCTTGAGGATTCAAAGGACTAATTCTAGTTGTGGGGTATTACGTACTTGCTTTTTTGGAAAGGTAAAAGTAGTCAGGCAGGTTGCCAGCTGCATCTTCACAGAGCAAAGGCCATTGCAGTGGAGGCTCTGTGCTAATTACTGCCAGTTTGTATGAGCACGAGCCTGCTGGCTCGCCTTTCCCACCAAGCCGAGCATCCATGCAACGGGCTCCTCAGGGTACCAGTGTGGGGCAGGAAGGCACTGAAGCTCTCGAGTCTTCATGCCACGGGCCAGAGCTGCCACAACACGGGGTCTTGCTGCCAGCAGCGTCCTCTGTGCTCCCAGCCAGCCTGGAGCACCTCTTACCCAGCAGGCTTCACGCAGCTGGTGGTGGGCACAGAGGACCAGGAGAGGCCTTGTGGTCAACCACTTACACTGGAAGCAGCTTATTTCTCAGGGCACCTTGGCATCCCTTTACCACCTTTTTGGAGTGAAGCAAGAAAGGTGCCTCTTGCAGTTTGCTGAGCTGTTGAGACCCTACATGGGCCATTCTGGAGAACAAAAGAGCTGGAGGGGGTGGAATCTTATTCCAAACATACAAACAAGGCCAGGAGGACCCAGGCGCTAAAAATAAACACAAAGTCACGCTGCCTTTCCAGGAGAACCAGCCGCTGGGCCCTGCGAGGG